CGTTTCCTCGCTTTTCTTCCCCCGGAGTTCTCCGCGTACGTATCGAGCATACTCGTCCGACTGCGCTCCCGATGTTTTGTGTCGCGCTCTGCCAACGTGGCCACGCGAATGTGTCTTATCAAACGCGCGATGTCACGCGAGGCGGCCGCGATTATGCGTTGTATGCGTTTTAACGAGCACGCCCGCCCGCCCGCTCAGACGAATTCGCGAAAACGTATATCTACCTTAATACAGCGATATCGCTTCCCGGAACATTCGCCCGAAACCGGAGACAGAGAAATTAGAGCACGTAATCTCCAAACGCAACACTCAAAACGTATTTGGATCGCGTACTACCGAGCATCTCGGTTATGAGACCGCGAACGGTAAAGTGCCGAAATGAATTCCGCTTCTCGTTCAAATTCCCGTTCAAAAAATACGTGAGATATACGTGAGAAAATACGTAAAACGCACGGAGAAGCTCTTCGCAAGTAACAAGAACTTCTAAAGATGTCTTAAAGCGTTTTAACATGTTTACTACTATGGTCTATTTGGTAGATATAATTTGTTTTATATGTCCTCAATGATAATGCTAGTATCATTGAAACAAAATCGAACAATGATATTAATGAAGTAAACTATTGCTATTTAATGGATATAAAGTTTGATCTACAATGTGTTATTTGCTTCCTGTTTTGTTTTCTTTATCTCTTTCTGACTTACATCTTAAGCCTTAAGCCTAATCTATAATGTGCTCTTTGCGTTCTGTTTCTTGTCTTCTGTCTTTTTCTGACTTAAAGCTTAAGGTTTGAGTCAAAAGAAATAAAGAGATAAAAGCAAGAACACATTGTAGATCAAGCTTTAAACTAAAAAAAGACAGAAAACAAAAAAACAAGAAGCAAAAAGCACATTAGATTAGGTACAGATTAGGTTTTAGTGGTACTGGGAGAAATCAACGAAAAGCTATTAAGTTTAAAGAACAATTCAATAGGTGTGTGGGCATAATAATTTTCATTGAGCAACTGGTGCATTATTATGGTTATTAAAAAATGCTAATATGAAAGAATTGGAAAATCTCCCATTTGATCCCAGAACATTGCTGAATATTTCAAAAAGTACAACTATATTAGTGTTAAATTTCCCCGTTGGAAGATATTCATCATTAATTAAAAATGCTCTTATGAACGTATTAACCTTTAGACTGCCGGCATTTTTTCATTAAAAAAGTGTTTCTTTTTCTCAAAAAATTTTCTATATAAGTAACATACACATGACGCAGAATTTTGAGATTTGTGTAAAGCCACAAAAGTGGGTTTCCCGGCAGTCTAAAGGTTAAGAATTGTAGAGAGAGAGAGAGAGTCAAAAATAAAATAACTACAGATATAAAAGTCAACGTTAATATTGATGGCTTACTACTAGCAAAAAGTTCTAAAAACCAGTTCTATTCGATATTAGAGAAAATATATCTTAAAATTTGTGAATCATTTCGGAGCCATCACGGATATAGTAAACTTTCCTATACGAATATATTTTTTGAAGATTTTATCACAGAGTATATTTCTTTAAATAATAATAAAATACAGAAGAATAATGCTATTACCCATACAGCTTCTTATATAAAAGTTTCTTTGACATCCATTAGATCTCAAATTTAAGAATCCTTTAAGATATCTTTTACGGTGTTTTTATATCCTCTAAAATCGATGCATTTTCATATCCATTATGTTATCTTCTGGATGTCATTGTTAGACATCAGCTTTCAGATGTGAACTCTTTTTGACAATATATTGCCCACTGAGTCTAATCCCGATTGATCCAACCGTTTAGCAAGAAATAGCGATGAAAATAGCAGAGGGAGAAAGAGAGGTGAACACGACGGGACGTATAAAACCGTGACTGTTATACCGTGAACACATATAAACGAGTATGGAGCGTAAGAACGAACCTAAGTGTAGGTGTACGCTCTTCAGAGCAGCGGCCTTACAAGGTCGTCTCGCGTTTGAGATATGTACTTCGTTATAACTTTCCCTAGACCACTCGAGCGTATTAATCTAGTCGATCTATTGCCAGCAAACTCATGCCATTTCATTACGCTCAGCCAGACTCGAGAATTCCTCGAAAATCACTATAGCGAGCCGTCAACGCAAGTGACCATCTATAATATGCGGAGTAAACTTAGCGTAAGTTGGAATAAGAACCGATTTTTCCAACCTCTCTTCATAAGTTAAATCCACAGATATCTATACTAAATTAGATTGCTAACACACCACCATTGCATGTAGCATGGCTTGCATCACGTCTGTGAAGATGGCACCACATTAAAAAAAAAAAAATCAATTTATTATCATAGTTCTGATCGCACCCCGATTAGTTCTAGAGTTCTAGATAACATTTAGAAATAGGCGAAATAAAGTAAAAAAACTAATTTTGAAGTTTGGAGGTGCTAAGTTCACAAAATGAGATCAGAAAAATGACAGTAACTTTTTAACGGTTGCACCAAGTGAATTTCATCATTAGAATTTTTTATAGAACTCTTGTGATGTTATCCAGAACTTCAGTCGGGACGCTGGAATTATTGAAAAAAATTTCACCCTTTCAGGACTTAGAAATTTTCACAAAACCGAATCTTTGAACGACTAGAACTTCTCTCTCATTGGTTTTAGTTCGAAGATTCATGAAAATAATCGACAGAACTCATCGGGGTGCTACCAGAACTCCGATCGGAACGCTGGAATTATTTAAAAAAATTTTATCTTTTTAGGACTTAGAAATTTTTACGAAACCGAATCGTCGAACGGCTAGAACTTCTCTCTCATTGGTTTTAGCTGAAAGATTCATAAAGATAATCGACAGAACTCTTCGGGGTGCTACCAGAACTCCGGTCGAAACGCTGGAATTGTTAAAAAAAATTTTACCCCCAAAAGACAGACATTTTCACGAAACCGAATCTTCGAACGGCTAGAACTTCTCTCTCATTGGTTGCAGTTGGAAGATTCATAAAAATAATCCATAGAACTTTTCGGGGTGCTATCAGAATTCCAGTCGGAATGCCGGAATTATTTAAAAAAATGTTACCATCAGGTGCTTAGAAAAAAGATCTAATTTTTTAAATTTTGCCAACAAAATTTTTTCCTGTGTGTTATTTATGTTTTAGTGCTACTTCTGATAGTCCTCTTCCTCCCCAAATTATTCTATCGATTGTCTTCCTAACTCTAAACGTTACAGTTGACAGAAATAATTTATAGCGTTTTGAATTTTCAGAATGGTAAAGTTAGCCCTCCCGTGACCTTGTAATGGTATGCTCGCTGCTGTGAGTTCTGGTAGCATCCCGACGAGTTCTATCGATTATCTTCATGAATCTTCGAGTTAAAACCAATGAGAGAGAAGTTCTAGTCGTTCAAAGATTCGGTTTCGTGAAAATTTCTAAGTCCTGAAAGGGTGAAATTTTTTTTAATAATTCCAACGTTGCGACTAGAGTTCTGGATATCACCACAAGAGTTCTATAAAAAATTCTAATGATAAAATTCATTTGGTGCAACCGTTAAAAAGTTACTGTCATTTTTCTGATCTCATTCTGTGAACTAAGCACCTCCAAACTTCAAAATTAGTTTTTTTTACTTCATTTCGCCGGAATTATTTCTAAATGTTATTTAGAACTTTAGAACTCATCGGGGTGCGATCAGAATTATGATAATAAATTGATTTTTTTTTAATGTGGTGCTATCTTCACAGACGTGCTTGCGTCTGATAGTTTCCGGTGTATGCGAGAAAATGGCCACATATTTTCACTACGTTTAAGGTGCGTTCGGGGAGCTCGCTATTAGCGCTACCGTGTCTTTCTATCCTTGTTGCTATCTAAGGAGTAATACAGATAGAAGAACGCGATAGTGTTGGTAGCGTGCTCCCCGAACACACCCTATGTCATAAAATTCTTTTGCTGGAAATGAGCAGAGCAAATAACGTCCATACCATTTATTTTTTTGTTGCGACATTTTTTGACAATAAGATACTGGCATTTTTGGTTTTACGACAGTAATTTAATGGCCCCGCTGATTCACATCGTACGTTGTAAGATACTCACATAAGTGACACACAGAACCGCCGCCATTTTTTCGCATACAACCGGAAATTTCATGCGACGCAAGTCCGAAGCCATAGAGGTATAGGACGAGTTTTTTAATTCATCGATGGATCCATTGTATGATGCGTAAATACAGCGAAATACTGCAATTGCGTATCATGCGATGGATCCATCGATAAATTAAAAAACTCGATTATATTCTATAACTTTTACCGACATCGTTATGTATTATTGCGTAGATTTTTTTTATTATGAAATAACTGCGCAACGATACATAACGACATCATTAAACATTATAAAATAGATTCCTTAGTTAGCAATCTAGTTTAATATAGACATCTGTAGTTAAATCATATGTTTGTCTTTATTTCTTCTTTAAAATAGACAAAGCAAATATATGATTTAACTGTTAATTTATCAAGAGGTTGGAAAAATTGATCCTAAGAAATAAAAATTTATTTCGTTTACGCTTGTACTTTAATTCTCTTATACCGGAAGTATTTCTCTCAAATAAAAGAAATACTCTGTAAGACAGTTAGAGTGCAGACGTGTAAAAACGAAATAAATGATCTTCATTTCTTACTCCAACTTACGCCAAGCTTACTTCGCATATTGTAGACTGCCACTAATCGTTACGTATGCTTGCACAGCATCCACGGTAATCTCGACTTGGTAGGGCCCTTTTAATACACATAACGTCGAAAAATGCGCTCAACCGGAAAGAGACAAACGATCGAACGTTCGGTGCGCGGATGATTTCCACTTGAATGAATAATCGTAATCACTCGAAACTATCTATTCGCGAGAGCAAAGCCGCCGCGCCGCCGTGATCGACGAGAGGGTGAATTAGCGCCGATCGTAAAACGTGAAAACAAAACGACGCCGTGTTCAGCGTGAAAGAAACAAAAGGAAAGAAAAAAAGCAATAACGACAGACTCACCTTCGTTCGTGAAGTTCTGCTCGATCAGAGGCCGGCCGAATGTGTTAACGAGATGCGTGGTGACGTGCAGGCCGGCGGCTTGCTGCTTCTTCTTCCTCCACGTCTCATTGACGACCCGCTCGACCGTTGAATTCTTCCGTATTCGAGCGGCGTCCGGCTCGAGCCTGTCCATGTTGCGTACGTCCGACCACAATATTACCAACAGTATCACGAGCAAAACGATGGCGAGCGCCGCGCCTATCGTGGCGACGCGGTTCGAAATCCGCGACATTTCTGTGATTCCGCCAATGGCGGTGCGCGCGCGCATCCGCTCCGTTCGTGCTCGGTTTTTGGCGCTGCTGTCTGACGGCGATCACCGATGTATCACGACGAGATCGATTCTCTCATTGACCGTGTCGCGCGTGTTGTCGCTTCAATCGATCATCTTGAGCGCGCCATCGGGAGACAAGATAGAGAGAAGAGGAAAGGAAAGAGAGAAAGAGGAGAAAGAGAGAGAGAGAGAGAGAGAAATAAAAAGAAAGAGAAAGAGCGAGGATTATCTGTTCGCAGCGAATGGATATTTCGAAGCGAGCCTCTCCTCCGTACCTTCGTATACACCCATAAAACCCTCGCGCAACAGGAGGAGATCTCAAGGTCCTTCTTCCTTCTCTTGAATCTTGTTTTCCTCGCGAAGCGCGACTCGCCGGCAGAATGCAACCGGGATCAACACAACGTCCATTAAAGAACGCGCGAATCTCGCCTCGCGGTCTTCTTATCTTCCACGAAGGACCTCGACCATACCATACCGCCTGGCTGAGGAGGTTATTACTTGAGGACTGGCCGGCTACGAGAATCGAAATGCATCATGCCGATCGTGGTCGAATGTTCAAGGGCGGATATCATAGCTCGTGGTGTATCAACCGTTCCTCGCTCGATCCTGCCGTTTCGTGTCTCACACGTGCGTAATAGCCTTACGTCTGTTGTGCCAACTTCGTCGCGATCCTTCTTTTGACGATCGCGCGAGGAACATCTCAAGTGCGAAGTACCGGCACCACGCGTGCTCAGATCAACGGTCGATGGCGATGTAAATAGTGTAAACAACGCGACGGTCGGGACAACCCAAGTCTTCGCTTTGTGAACGTTGTTGTCAATCTCAAGTCGGGGCAGCTGATCAATGTTTTCCTGAAACCAAACAAAAAACAGCCGTTTAATGTGAGAAAATGAGAATTGTGCTGAAGTGCAGTTAAATTATAAGTTCTTGAAGGCCGGTTGTTTCAACTTCTTGGTAAATTAACTCATAGTTAAATCATATGTCCTTGTTTTTCCTTCAATTTAGATAAAGACAAACGTATTATTTAACTATCAGTTATCTTACCAAGAAGTTGGAACAACCAGCCTTGAGTCTTTTTTTTGTTGCTTAACGTATCTCCAGTTCTGTTGACTAATTTTAGCTAATTGACACGCTTTCTTTCTCCTAGTTTGTCTATTCCATTCTTAGATGAACTAGGTTACATTTTTTGCTTTTAAAGTGATACAAGTAATTAACCTAGCGTGGAAAAGAAGTGTTGTGTGGAAACTTTTCAGTTTGCAGCACCAGTCTAGCTAAAAGGAGCAGACCTCTTGACTCGATTTACATTTGCAAATCCGGCGCGGAATGTGATGTCAGACGTTCCGGGTTTCAATCAAATCACCTGATTTCCCGCGCGCGAACGTTCATCGCATGTCTTTTATTGGTCTCCTCGAGACTTGCGATCGAAGCCGAACTTCACGCCGAACTTCACGCTATCACGACCGTATCGGAGAAGTGTCTACATAGTGGCGTATATATGTATTTTTATACCTCTGTTTCTTTTTCGCAGAGGAAGCGAGAGGGAGAGAAAGGAAGAAGACGATATTTTTAGAGGAATGTCGGCTTTTTTCGGGAGGGGAAATTCAAAGCCGCCACATCGTCAAGGCTGAGCGAATGAAATATAAAAGCCGCTCGGCACGCGGCTACCGACCTCGGAATCTCTTAAGGTCTGGGTCAAACTATTCTTGTCGCGTATCGCACGCGCTGGGCTTTGATCGCATCGGCCGATGGATCGATCAATCTTTGTCTTGAAGTTTCACGCGATTCGCGCGACCCGCCATCTCGTTTGCGCGTTCAAATATACATATCGCGCGATTATCTCCGGCCTTTCTGTTCTTTGAAAGAATCTGAGATTACGAACCATCTCTGTATACGGAAAAAACATTATGGTGGGGGCGCATACATAAATTTGATGCCAACGAGATTCAATATAGAAAACGTTTCTTCTGTGTACGATATATTATTATGTACGATTAATATATATATACTTGATAAAATATATTGTGTACTAGTATTTATTCTGTAAATTTCTTAGAATAGGATTTCACTCAAAACATCGCAAAAAATCACTCTCGTGATGAGCATTGTATCATAACAATCACAAAAACGCCGGTTTCTTGTATATGTTTATAGTTTTTATTCTCTCTCTCTCTCTCTCTCTCTCTCTCTCTCTCTCTCTCTCTCTCTCTCT